CTACGAAAACGTCGCGCTTCCTCAAACTTTATCGCCCTACATCCATCTCGTATAATTCGTCAAATGTTGGCAAATTTCTTTGGAGTTGAATTCTAAAGGACTGTATCAAAGTTCAAGAAAAAAAGTTGTTGTCTTGTGTTCCTGTCCTCGATAAAACGTGACTGAATAAGGCACTTTCACGTTGTAGTCGTGAAACGACGGCTAAAAAATGTGCAAAACTGAAAAAGTGACGCATGTGCAAAGTTGTTGTTTTGCTAATATATAACAATTATTCACTAAAGTGAGGTGGTGAGTGGTGGTAAATATCCCCCACTGGCCGTCGACACTGTCGACACTGAGGTGAATAATTGTTTTAGTATATACGAAAGCAGTGAGATCATTGAGCACAAAATTAAAATCATGGATTTTTTAAAAACTCATTTACTGCCGCCAACGACAAACTTTGGCACGCCGACAAATTAAACTTTTCAAGGCATTTGTTTAGCTATTATGGGAAAATTTCGGTAAAAGGATTTATGAATTCTTTTTTTATTTGAAACAATTCTGTAAAAAACTATTTAATTTGGTTTTAAGATTAAATTGAAAGATTGAACATGTCAGCTAAATAAAATAACGCAAGCTTCCAAACCGAATTTCGTCAATTTCCGGAGGGGCGTTTAACGGAAGGTTTAGTTATGCGTTACGAGTTTGGGGGGCTTTTGGAGGGGCTTAACATGGTACGTATTTTCGGAATTTTAGCGTATCCTTATGACATAGTTGGTCAAGCGTTCTTTTGCCCAGTTGTTTTAAACCCAGACCGAAACACCAAACAGGATCTCAGCAAAAACTGGTCAGAAGATTATGCTACGATGCACCTGCGGAACAGACCTCACCTTAGCTCAAATAATCGCGCCATTAGGCGGAGACGTTAATCGGTTGCCTTGTCTCCTTCTTCCTTCCGGCACGCTACAAAAAACAGAACGCACACTGTAGCCTCCCAGACAAACCTTCTAAGGGCTTCGTCACGCGTTTCTCCCCCACACGACGAACGCTTGTCGAAGCCCAAAGCCAGTCTGAGTGGGCGGCTACGCACACTGCTCTTTTAGCCTGAAAAGCACCGGGCTTGCAAAGCCGACGGTGACGCAAGTTGTGTGGTATTCCTGCAATAACAGTCTACCTCCAAGACATTTTGGTATTACTACTTCCCTTTTCTCTCTCGTTGGAGCCAATTCATTGCTACCCTAAGAGAAAACGTGTTCTCTTCTCATAGAATCTATGCTGCAGTAATCCTTGCCGGAACAACGCCAAATGTCTCCTTGGGTTTACTGACAAGAAGTATCTTTGTGTATGTACATCGGGATACACAGGAGAACACTGTGAAACAGGTATAGTGGAAAAACAGATAGTGACAGGTCATATTGCTGGTAACAATATGCAATGAATAACAAAGCCTTAGAACACCCCAATGAAGGGGAATCAAAACAGGCTAATCAGTTTGTAGGGTGGGAATTTTAACATTTAACTTCACCTGTCTTCTAGTAAATAAAATAACGACAGCAATGATTTCCAATAAAATGCAAATTGCACGAAGGCGCAGGTCAAACAATAACAACTAGCTTCCAAGGTTAACTGGAAAAGCTTGATGTGCCCAAGTATAAATTACCTTTTGTGTCCTTTTGATTTGATAAACTTAACGGCCTCAAGCAGCGGAGTCCATGATTGCCACCAAACTGTAATTTGTACATAAACCCTTCCGGTATTATATACGGGTCGCATAATGCAATGGTTCACAGAAAACGACCAATTTTGCAGTCAACAACACGTTTACTTTGATGTAAAAAGTATCAGATTAACTTTTTTGCTTTTCATATTAGAGTGGTTTTCGTTTGAGTGTCGTAAAACCAAAACCAAAGTAATTACTCTGACCAATCACATAGGACACAGAAAATACATTGAACCAATCAAAACTCGAAGTAATTACATGTGGCTGACGCAAAGCGCGGGAAAATGCATGCGAGCGCGTCACAATTGGCTTTGGTTTTACTTCTGATTGGATGAAAAGGTGGCGCGAATCTTTTAAACCAATCGCATCGTGTAGAAAGTGCAAAACCAATTACTTTTCGACACTCAAATGAAAACCGCTCTATTTAGATATCGATGAATGCAGCATCGGAAGCCATGATTGCCATCAAAATGCAAAATGTATAAATACCGCTGGACATTTTAATTGCAGCTGTCAAACAGGATTCATAGGAAATGGTCGTCCGTGTCAGGGTAAAAAATACCTTTTATTCCATAATCTGCTCGTTTGCCTCCATCTTGAAACTACTGGATTTACTTTTTCCTTGTTTTCCTTCTGTTACTCACCGATCAGATATCGATGAATGCAGCATCCGAAGCCATGATTGCCATCAAAATGCAACTTGCGTTAATACCGCTGGACACTATGATTGCATCTGTAAACTGGGTCTCACTGGAAACGGGAGAAATTGTTCAGGTGAAGCTATAATTTTTTTTCATAGCATTTCAGTAGCAAACTTTGTAAACCATTATTTACTCTAAACGGCCACTGATCTGCGCAATGGAAGAAAAAGGAAAAATTCATTTTCTTTTGTTTTTTTGCTCCCTGTGTCATTCAAATATCGATGAATGCATCAACGGCAGCCATGATTGCCATCAGCATGCAATTTGTGTAAATACCGCTGGACACTTTAATTGCAGTTGTCAGACAGGATTCACCGGAAATGGCCGCCAGTGTCAGGGTAACAATAGCCCACGTTCGATATATTAAAATTCTTACATGACTCCGAGGCTTTCTGGTCATTTTTCTACATTAGGTTTGGTTTTCTTTGTGCTTAAGGCCCGCCCTGTTTATAAGGAGGGAGGGTAACCCTGGTGCTAGGGTTTCCCTAGCAAGAGGGTTACCCTAGCACTCGCATATTTCTTCTTTTTTCACACGACGTGTTTACAAGGTAGGTACGGTTACCCTAGCACTAGGGTAACCCTACCTGAGTGCTAGGGCTACCCTGGCAAGAGGGTTACCCTTGCACTCGCATATTTCTTCTTTTTTCACACGACGTGTTTACAAGGCAGGTAGGGTTACCCTAGCGCTAGGGTAACCCGTCCTGAGTGCTAGGGTTACCCTGGCAAGAGGGTTACCCTACCTGCCTTGTAAACGCTCAGCTAGGGATAACTCGCCTACCCGGGTAGTTCCGCCGTCATGCATGACCAGTAATCGTACCAATTTGAACGGTATTATCCAATTTCTGAGCTTAATTATAAACATCTGAATAATAACTAGTTATTTTCTGTCTACGATGATAATATTTTCCCTTTCTTCGTGAATTTAACGTGTTTTCCATAGAGAACTTCAACATTATTTCAAATTTTCTACCGTTACAAAGAATGCACGCATGACGTAACACGTCAGCAAAGCATGTAAAGTTGACCCGGGTGATAGGGTCACCGGTACCCTACCTGTGAAATTTGCTTGTAAACCAACCTCGTTCCCAGGGCGCTTCTCCCTGGCATTGGAGGCCGCCAGACCTCCAAAGGCAGGGAAAAGCGCCCTGGGGACGAGGTTGCTTGTAAACCAGAGCTAACTTTAACCCGCTTGCTAGGGTAGCCCTAGCACAAGGGTAACCCTCTCTCCTTGTAAACAGGCCTTAAGTCCCTTATGGGAATTGCGAGACAATGAAGTCGTGAAATATTTGCAATTTTGACTCTAAAGCCTCGGAGTCGTGTCAGAATTTTAATATATCGAACATGGGCTGATGAAATCTTTGAGTTGTTATTTTTAGTATCGACGAACCTACTCGTATTGCTTAAACCTCAAGGTCGTTTCTGGATGTATGCATCACTTCCTCTACATTCTGATGTGATACGGTTGGGTTTTTGTGATCACGATCTAGTTTACTTGGTTCAAAAATCCAACACAATGAAATAAATTGGAATTAGAAACTTCAGAAAAATTCAGGATTTAAGATATAAAAAAACGTGCGAACTTCTAAATCTTAAAAATGACGTTGATGCAATGTGGATCTGTTGGAAAATAATGTTTCTAGAAGTTTTGGATAGAAACGCCCTAATTCGAAAACAGCCGGTCAGGAACAAACTATCCAGTCTCCCCTAAGTAAATAGTAAAATTACGCAACAAATGAGGGAGCGAGATCGTCTAGCTACGATAAACGATAAAGAGAACCGAGGATGACAATTGGTCTCTATATTTCCGCTAGAAATGCTGTAAACATTGCTCTATGACAAGCAAAATGAAATTCGTATAAACATAACAACTTTCTTTAATTTTCCAGACGGTACATCCGTCATCTGCCGTGTTATATATTTTGAAATCGCCGTTGAATTTAAAGCGCGCGCGATCTTACAAAGTTCGTTACATTGCGTTGTCAATATTACGTACTAAAACAACAACAACAAAAAAATTAAATGAGTAACGCTTAGTTCTTTACAGGGAGAGAGTCAGGTTAATGTTGTGAGCAGTTTGCTTTTAATTCTGCTGCTCAGACGAGCAAGGAGAATGCGCTCCCTTATTACCTACCTTGGTTTCGAATACCAAGTTAGTGAAGATGTTTTAGTGACAGGTTCATTGATTACCCATCGAAAACGTACTCTTAGAGAAAGAGCGGCATTGCGAAGGCAAGCGTGGGTTTAACCTCGACCCCAAGAATGGTTTGAAGAAATGCACAGAAACAGAAACCTTGAAGCACTGTGGACACTGTGGAAAACGCAATTACCGATGTTCTAAAGCTATTCTGTTATGTGACCCTTTTTGAAACTACTTTCCTCAAAAATCATGACAAACTGTCAACAAAACAAACAAAGTTTAGATAGACTAGAGATATACCCACCTATTTTTTTTTGGTAACCAGATGGTTATCGGTGATGGGTCATCTTTGTTCTTTCCGCGGTAGTCATGGAAATTAACCACGGTAGAGTTTACCATAGTAAACTGAAAAAGGCCGGTCACACTTACGGCGCTGTTTACTATGGTAAACTTGAGTTTACTATAGTAAACGTTCTCTAATGTGACCTCAACCAATGGCTACATAAAGTTTATCCCCACTCTCTTATCTTATCTTATCTTATCTTATCAAATAAAATACAAATACCTTTAACTCATAAGGTGGACGTTTATCTTAAAACCATCAGATTTACATTTTCTTGCTCTTTTCCCTATATCCGACCCTATGCTACTTAGATACCGATGAATGCAACAACGGCAGCCACGATTGCCACCAAAATGCAACTTGTGTAAATACTGCTGGACACTTTAATTGCAAGTGTAAACCGGGTTTCACTGGAAACGGGCGAAATTGTTCAGGTAAAGTTTTCTTTTTTACATTTGTGCGATGACTCAAGGAGCGTCCCCCGCTTCCACTTCCCGAGAAAGCTTGCTGACAGGGGAACGCGAAACGTTTTTCCAGTTGGAGGAACTAGTAGTAGACTATGTTGAAACTTAACCTCATTTTGGATTTCCCTTGGATTTCCCGCATACTAATTTGGATTTCCCCCATACCAATTAAGTGCGTTCCTCCATATATGATGAAGTGGATAGGTTTAAATAAGCGTCACTCTACTACAATAGGAAAAAATAGGCTTGCCTAGACTTGCCCGGGCTCTTTTAACCCCGATTGGATAGTAAACAATCTATTATGTGTTTGAAATAAAAGCGGGCTCTCCGTTCAGCATATTACTCTTGCAATCGGTTTGCTAAGGAAAAAAGTCTGACTACCACCAATATTTTTTAAAACATCGCTTCAAACATGCAAGTCGAATCGAGCGCTTCACCTCTGCTGACCAAAGATAAAGCCAGTTCCTTACCCGGTCAGTTCTGCCCGTTTCATCCCCGCTCAACGTTGGAATTGGTAGAAATAGCGCAAGGATTTTGCTATGTGCACTGCCCCGAGAAAATGAGTTTTATATTTGCCCCTGCCTCAGAATGGAAAGAGGACAAAGAGTGGATCGCGCATCATACATACTCTGGTGTGAAAAAATATGCAGCTTAGTTGGTTTGTGATTCTTCTAACAAGTTAGCATTGAGAAAAAGTAAACAGCCTTGGAGCCAGGATCGAATGTTTCTGACATGCTACAAAAAAGAGTGTGGATTTTTCCTGTGGATAGACCAGCCAATATCGCATGGTATCAAGGATCGGCTCTCGTATTCACCTCAGCCACGGGTCACAAGACTCCAACCTTATGGGGAGATAAAGGAGATGTTTGAAAAACATCGCCAAGAGGCTAAACAGAAAGCATTTATCCAACACCAGCGTCATACACGCAAATGTGACGAAGGCTTTGAAATGTGTGACAACGGTTTTAACAGTCTAGGAAGTCCCAACATCTTTCATGGGCTTAGATACAGAGAATGGATGCATGAAGTATGGGAATCGTACAAGTTTTATGTCCAAAAAATGAAAGAAGACTCTCGAGACAACCCAGATGCTACACTTTGTTTAGAGAAAGATGATGTACTGCGTCAGGCGTACTACAAGTACGCGAGAGAGGACGGGCATCACCCCGAAAGTTACCGGGTGTTGAAGGTTTTGTATGAAAGACACATTGAAGGCAAACACGTACCTTTTCAACGTTATGTTATCACCCCTGAAGAACGTGAAGAGATTGAAAACGATAAACAGTTACCTTCTTATTCTAGAGCGTTTGCACAAGGTGCACGCAGATCAAAATGTATTGCTATGCTTAACATTATAAGGAACCCTAGGTCTTCCTGTTTGTTCTAAATAAAAATGTTACATCGCTGCCTGTGTGGAAATAGAGCTGTCTTGAGATCCTTTGAAAGATTTTTAAAGTTTTTGTGTGAAATAAAGTTTTATTCATCTTTACACCGCGTTAGTCACTAATTATGTTTAACAAATGTTTGACTGGAGCTCTAAAATTTGCATGTGAACTAGCTCGTGTGCCTTTTGTTTGACAAACAATAAGTCATACACAACACCTACTCTGATTCGAGTAATACATTTTGATCTGCGTGCATCTTGTGCAAACGCTCTAGAATAAGAAGGTAACTGTTTATCGTTTTCAATCTCTTCACGTTCTTCAGGGGTGATAACATAACGTTGAAAAGGTACGTGTTTGCCTTCAATGTGTCTTTCATACAAAACCTTCAACACCCGGTAACTTTCGGGGTGATGCCCGTCCTCTCTCGCGTACTTGTAGTACGCCTGACGCAGTACATCATCTTTCTCTAAACAAAGTGTAGCATCTGGGTTGTCTCGAGAGTCTTCTTTCATTTTTTGGACATAAAACTTGTACGATTCCCATACTTCATGCATCCATTCTCTGTATCTAAGCCCATGAAAGATGTTGGGACTTCCTAGACTGTTAAAACCGTTGTCACACATTTCAAAGCCTTCGTCACATTTGCGTGTATGGCGCTGGTGTTGGATAAATGCTTTCTGTTTAGCCTCTTGGCGATGTTTTTCAAACATCTCCTTTATCTCCCCATAAGGTTGGAGTCTTGTGACCCGTGGCTGAGGTGAATACGAGAGCCGATCCTTGCTACCATGCTATATTGGCTGGTCTATCCACAGGAAAAATCCACACTCTTTTTTGTAGCATGTCAGAAACATTCGATCCTGGCTCCAAGGCTGTTTACTTTTTCTCAATGCCAGCTTCTTAGAACAATCACAGACCAACTGAGCTGTATATTTTTTCACATAAGAGTGTGTATGATGCGCGATCCACTCTATGTCCTCTTTCCATTCTGAAGCAGTTGCAAACATAAAACACATTTTCTCGGGGGCAGTACACATAGCAAATTCCTTGCGCTTTTTCTACCAATTCAAACGTTGAGTGGGGATAAAATGGGCAGAACTGACCGGGTAAGGAACTGGCTTTATCTTCGGTCAGCAGAGGTGAAGCGCTCGATTCGACTTGCATGTTTGAAGCGATGTTTTAAAAAATATTGGTGGTAGTAAGACTTTTTTCCTTAGCAAACCGATTGCAAGAGTAATATGCTGAACGGAGAGCCCGCTTTTGTTTTAAACACATAAGAGACTGTTTACTATCCAATCGGGGTTAAAAGAGCCCGGGCAAGTCTAGGCAAGCCTATTATTCCTATTGTAGTAGAGTGACGCTCATTAGTAAACCTATCGACTTCATTATATATGGAGGAAGGCACTTATTTAGTATGGAGGAAATCCAAATTAGTATGCGGGAAATCCAAGGGAAATCCAAAATGAGGTTAAGTTTCAACATAGTCTACTACTTGTATTTCATCACGACGGCGCGCGGGAAGCAATTTCTTTGACGGATTGAAAAAGTACTGTGGGGTAGGGAAGTGATGGAGTGAAAACCACCCATATCCTTTTAAAGCAGAAGTATTAAAAATATTCTTTATAAAGCTATCTAGATAGGTAAATTTTTTAGTGAAATATTGAAAAAGGAATGACCCGGAGGGAAGGGCCATCTCTATTGTTTTCATGTGTTTCTCTGTGACTGATTCATCACTGCCAGTGTGACGTCACATACTAACGGGCGAGTGCCAGTCGGGTCGCATGTGCAAATTTGCAAGGGACACCGTAGTCATTCGAACCAGAGAGGACGGGGAAAAAATAAAAAGCTAGGCAAATAGACCATAAGTGCGGGAGCTTTGTTGTTGCTTTTATCTGCTTGTGTAAACCGTATTGGTATGTTGTGTCCGTAATTGTGTAATTCTATTTTTAAAATTTGTGTCGAGGCCGTGTTTACGGGACCAGCAAGTGCATAAAATTGGTAACGTCTAGAGTCTCCAGAAAAGGAGATTCGATTCAGAGGTCACACACGTTTATATTCCATATATTCTTCGCTGATTAAATCGACCATACTTCTAATCAATCCCTTCGAGTGTGGGCCTCTGTTTATTTCTTAATTCTCCATCAAATTCAGTACAGTTTGTTTGGTTGATTTTCTACAACGATCAGCCCTTTGAACCCGAAATAATGATGCAAAATAAAGGCTTGATATACGTGCTTAAGCTAATTTTTTCAAACAGCGTCTATGGCAGAGAAAAATGGTTTTAATATATTAAATTCCCCGGGGGGGTACTCGCCTATAAAAGTGACGGGAGTGCTCGTGGAAAATTTTCGAGAACACCCCTTAAAGGTACCAGAATCTTGTTTTATGGGCGTGCCCCAAATTCATTTCCACTCCTAAGAGGTACCAATTCAACAACAACAAATTATATAACTGGCGCTGCAAATTTCAATAGTAAAAAAGATAACTTTTGAACAGTTTTCTTCTCAAGGATTTTTTGAAAATATTGTCATAAATCTTTATCCTAATCAGTCATTTAAGGTTTTAGCACCCTACGCGGTACGAATTCACAAATTTAAACCCCTAAAAGCTACGACCAGCACCCCCGTCACTGTTATAGGGGAGTACCCCACCCGGGGCAAACTCACTTCACCAAAAACTGAGGTGCACAATGGTGCAGTGGTCAAGGAGTTGCTTGCATGTGCAGATGAACTAGGTTCGACTGCCGGCGAGGCTGTTTTCTGTTTCTTTATTGTAAAATATTTTATTCTGTGAGGGAATTTTCAGGTGGTTTGTTGAGCCAGATGTAGGAACGATATTTACCCAAAATATGCAGGTATTCGAGATGGTATGCAAACAATGAAATCCAAGGCCAAGACTAAAACAAATAGCTATATGCCTTTGCCAAATTATCAGGACTAACATACCAGGTTGAAATTTACCAAAATTATGCATAATTATCAACTGAACATACGATCCTGCCATGATCCTTACTGCGATTACGGTAGACAAAGTTTAACCCTTGCTATGCAGAATTTTAGTACTTGGACTAGTTTTCCACAAATTAGCATAGATATGGGGTGGGAAATGGGAAATATTTTTGGGATGTATATATGTTATTCACCAGCCTTGGTCGATCCGTATTGGGAGAAACTGCCCGAGGTCTTGAGTACCACCCTAGGCCGTAGGCCGAGGGAGGTACTCAGACCGAGGGCACAGTTTCTCCCAATACGGATCGACCAAGGCCGGTCAATAACATTTTTATTTTTTTCCTACTGACATTTAAAAGTTTCTGGAAAATTTTACTTCGGCCTCCTACCTATGTATGTTGAAGTAGAACGCGTTCGTGTTGATGAAGCGCGCGATCGATTGCAAACCAAAACAAAACACACAACGTGATTTTTAGCTTGTAATTTATATTATCACAATTCAGCTCTGAGCTCTTTCAGAATAAAGAAAGGTTTTTGTGTCTTGGTAGACAAATCATAACCTGAGTGTCAAACAAAGACAAAAGAATTGACGAACTTGATGTTAAAAGCCACAGCAAAAAAAAAAAACAGCAAAGATTTTCTTCGCCTAAATAATTACTTTAAGATTAGTTCAATCGAGCGGGATGAAAACTGCACAAGACTTTATAAAAGGAGCTAATTACAGATACCAATATTAAGGTTTTGACTATAAATAAATAAAAATTATAAGCTTTAAAAAAGTAAAGTAAAAGCAACAAAAAGGATTCCTAACCTAACTGGTAACTTCTTAACCCTAACCTAACTTAACCTTACCCTAACCCCGGCTAACTCTAACTCGAGCTTTCCTTCCATGATTGCCACGAAAACCCTCCTCTTAATGGTCAAGGGACTTGCAGGAAGTCAAAATGGTGGGAGAGCGAAAAATTGTCGAGTCCTGGCTCCAAGTCCTGGTTCGAGTCCTAGTTCGGTATATTGGCATCCTCATTGAAAGCTATTAAAACTTAAGCTTAAATGCAATCATTGACAACCTTTTCTGAAAAGTAGAAAACTAGCGAGACAAAATTCAGTGAAAGACGACAGAATCTAGATTCAGACATCAAATGGAAAACAAAACTACAAATAGTATATAGCTGCCGTAAGGCGACTTCTTTTACCGATCAGCGCTAACAATAGACGCACAAGTTTATTCCGATTTGAGTACTCGAGGGTTACAGTAATAAGCAAGATGGTAAACTATTGACCCCAAAGACTCGACTGACATTAGGTCCGATGTACCGTAATTTGCCGTATTTGATGTGTTAATTGAGTTGTGTTGTGGTTTAAACTGAAATACAAGGTGAAAATAAAACTTCAGAAATACTGTGAGCGCAAAAGAAATACAGCAAAAATGAAATATAGCAAACGAATGGACAACGCACTTACATTGTTTTGGCGCAAAACTTCTGACCGCAAAAGAGATACTCCTGATAGGAAACTACTACTTAGTGCTCTTGAAGAAACAATAGGGCCATTTATACGAGGAAAAATAAGACGCGAGCTGTACCATTTATACGAGCATGTCTTATCTAATAAGACGCGTCTTAGCTAAGCCGCGTCTTATTTTAGACGAAATGTGCCGTTTATACGGAAAGTTCCCGTCTTATGTAAGACGCGTCTTATTTTTCCTCGTATAAATGGCCCTAATGTTGAAATAAAAGCTGAACTGAAAATGCTAGATGGAGTAAGGTCACCCATGCACATTGCGTTGATTGTAGTGAATCCTTTATTAACCCACAATCATTTATTTTTTCTTGCAAGACTGTTCACAAAAATTTCACCAGTTTGAAAAAACTCAAGATCTTCCAACCAGAGGAGGGTCTGATGTCGAACACTTCACTATCAATGGAAATCGGTTTCTCGCCTTCGCAAACATTTACAGTGATACCGAAGAACATAACACCGACTCTTTCATCTACAAACAGAACGATTCCACTGGAAATTTTTTCCTTTATCAGACTTTAGGCACACATGGAAGCATTAACATGGAATATTTTAAAATTGGTGATCAACATTACCTGGCTGTCGCAAATCATTATGATGGAACTTCGTACAGACTGAATTCAGTTATTTACCAGTGGAGTCTGAGTCAGGACAAATTTGTCGTCTTCCAAAGCATTGAAACATTTGGAGCACACAGCTTTGACTTCTTCGAAATAACAAATGAGCAGTTTCTTGCCATTTCAAATTATTATAATGACTCCTCGCACAGCATCAACTCATTCATTTACAAATGGAACAGTAATGAATTTGAAAAGATTCAAGAGATAGCAACCGAGGGGGCTGTTAGTGGTGAGACATTTGTAATCAGCAATGAAACCTTCATTGCATTTGCAAACCATTTTACCACACAAAAGCAGTATGCAGTTCAGTCAGCTGTCTTTAAGTGGTCAGGGCAGCAATTTGTCAAAGTGCAGTCTTTCCAGACATATGGAGCCCGAGATGTGAAGTCATTCAGTGACAACGGTTCTACTTTTCTCGCCTTTGCAAACTACAGACGTGGCAGTTCTCCCATTTACAAGTGGAATGGCAGTCATTTTGTTCTATTTCAAAGGATTCCTACTCGTGGAGCAGCCGGGTTACATCCCTTCATGATGTGCAGTCAAAGTTTTCTGGGTGTGGCTAGTGCCTATGATAACTACAACGAGTACAATACTATGTCAATGGTATATCGAGTTTCTCAGGAACATTTCATTGAATACCAAGAAATTGCAACCCAGGGAGCTTTTGGTATGACGTCATTTCAATACAAAGGACATACTTACCTAGCAGTTGCAAATCGTTTAACTAATCTTAAGAAATGGAATATCAACAGTACGCTGTATAAGTGGGCCTAATATGGGGCACCTCGCCTACAAAGGCCACTGACATAGATATCTTTGGGCCAACGATTTCATGGTTACCTCTATTAGTGTCATTTCAGTAAATTTACATCGCTAGAAGTTATTTAATGTGAACATAGTATTCCTTATATCGAGGTATAATACAGAGTAGATTACGTGAAAGTATAGTATAGTAAACCTTTATAACTAGGGTAATCCCTTCAGAATACTTAAAAGTATATTCAAGTGCATAAAATTGGTAACGTCTAGAGTCTCCAGAAAAGGAGATTCGATTCAGAGGTCACACACGTTTATATTCCATATATTCTTCGCTGATTAAATCGACCATACTTCTAATCAATCCCTTCGAGTGTGGGCCTCTGTTTATTTCTTAATTCTCCATCAAATTCAGTACAGTTTGTTTGGTTGATTTTCTACAACGATCAGCCCTTTGAACCCGAAATAATGATGCAAAATAAAGGCTTGATATACGTGCTTAAGCTAATTTTTTCAAACAGCGTCTATGGCAGAGAAAAATGGTTTTAATATATTAAATTCCCCGGGGGGGTACTCGCCTATAAAAGTGACGGGAGTGCTCGTGGAAAATTTTCGAGAACACCCCTTAAAGGTACCAGAATCTTGTTTTATGGGCGTGCCCCAAATTCATTTCCACTCCTAAGAGGTACCAATTCAACAACAACAAATTATATAACTGGCGCTGCAAATTTCAATAGTAAAAAAGATAACTTTTGAACAGTTTTCTTCTCAAGGATTTTTTGAAAATATTGTCATAAATCTTTATCCTAATCAGTCATTTAAGGTTTTAGCACCCTACGCGGTACGAATTCACAAATTTAAACCCCTAAAAGCTACGACCAGCACCCCCGTCACTGTTATAGGGGAGTACCCCACCCGGGGCAAACTCACTTCACCAAAAACTGAGGTGCACAATGGTGCAGTGGTCAAGGAGTTGCTTGCATGTGCAGATGAACTAGGTTCGACTGCCGGCGAGGCTGTTTTCTGTTTCTTTATTGTAAAATATTTTATTCTGTGAGGGAATTTTCAGGTGGTTTGTTGAGCCAGATGTAGGAACGATATTTACCCAAAATATGCAGGTATTCGAGATGGTATGCAAACAATGAAATCCAAGGCCAAGACTAAAACAAATAGCTATATGCCTTTGCCAAATTATCAGGACTAACATACCAGGTTGAAATTTACCAAAATTATGCATAATTATCAACTGAACATACGATCCTGCCATGATCCTTACTGCGATTACGGTAGACAAAGTTTAACCCTTGCTATGCAGAATTTTAGTACTTGGACTAGTTTTCCACAAATTAGCATAGATATGGGGTGGGAAATGGGAAATATTTTTGGGATGTATATATGTTATTCACCAGCCTTGGTCGATCCGTATTGGGAGAAACTGCCCGAGGTCTTGAGTACCACCCTAGGCCGTAGGCCGAGGGAGGTACTCAGACCGAGGGCACAGTTTCTCCCAATACGGATCGACCAAGGCCGGTCAATAACATTTTTATTTTTTTCCTACTGACATTTAAAAGTTTCTGGAAAATTTTACTTCGGCCTCCTACCTATGTATGTTGAAGTAGAACGCGTTCGTGTTGATGAAGCGCGCGATCGATTGCAAACCAAAACAAAACACACAACGTGATTTTTAGCTTGTAATTTATATTATCACAATTCAGCTCTGAGCTCTTTCAGAATAAAGAAAGGTTTTTGTGTCTTGGTAGACAAATCATAACCTGAGTGTCAAACAAAGACAAAAGAATTGACGAACTTGATGTTAAAAGCCACAGCAAAAAAAAAAAACAGCAAAGATTTTCTTCGCCTAAATAATTACTTTAAGATTAGTTCAATCGAGCGGGATGAAAACTGCACAAGACTTTATAAAAGGAGCTAATTACAGATACCAATATTAAGGTTTTGACTATAAATAAATAAAAATTATAAGCTTTAAAAAAGTAAAGTAAAAGCAACAAAAAGGATTCCTAACCTAACTGGTAACTTCTTAACCCTAACCTAACTTAACCTTACCCTAACCCCGGCTAACTCTAACTCGAGCTTTCCTTCCATGATTGCCACGAAAACCCTCCTCTTAATGGTCAAGGGACTTGCAGGAAGTCAAAATGGTGGGAGAGCGAAAAATTGTCGAGTCCTGGCTCCAAGTCCTGGTTCGAGTCCTAGTTCGGTATATTGGCATCCTCATTGAAAGCTATTAAAACTTAAGCTTAAATGCAATCATTGACAACCTTTTCTGAAAAGTAGAAAACTAGCGAGACAAAATTCAGTGAAAGACGACAGAATCTAGATTCAGACATCAAATGGAAAACAAAACTACAAATAGTATATAGCTGCCGTAAGGCGACTTCTTTTACCGATCAGCGCTAACAATAGACGCACAAGTTTATTCCGATTTGAGTACTCGAGGGTTACAGTAATAAGCAAGATGGTAAACTATTGACCCCAAAGACTCGACTGACATTAGGTCCGATGTACCGTAATTTGCCGTATTTGATGTGTTAATTGAGTTGTGTTGTGGTTTAAACTGAAATACAAGGTGAAAATAAAACTTCAGAAATACTGTGAGCGCAAAAGAAATACAGCAAAAATGAAATATAGCAAACGAATGGACAACGCACTTACATTGTTTTGGCGCAAAACTTCTGACCGCAAAAGAGATACTCCTGATAGGAAACTACTACTTAGTGCTCTTGAAGAAACAATAGGGCCATTTATACGAGGAAAAATAAGACGCGAGCTGTACCATTTATACGAGCATGTCTTATCTAATAAGACGCGTCTTAGCTAAGCCGCGTCTTATTTTAGACGAAATGTGCCGTTTATACGGAAAGTTCCCGTCTTATGTAAGACGCGTCTTATTTTTCCTCGTATAAATGGCCCTAATGTTGAAATAAAAGCTGAACTGAAAATGCTAGATGGAGTAAGGTCACCCATGCACATTGCGTTGATTGTAGTGAATCCTTTATTAACCCACAATCATTTATTTTTTCTTGCAAGACTGTTCACAAAAATTTCACCAGTTTGAAAAAACTCAAGATCTTCCAACCAGAGGAGGGTCTGATGTCGAACACTTCACTATCAATGGAAATCGGTTTCTCGCCTTCGCAAACATTTACAGTGATACCGAAGAACATAACACCGACTCTTTCATCTACAAACAGAACGATTCCACTGGAAATTTTTTCCTTTATCAGACTTTAGGCACACATGGAAGCATTAACATGGAATATTTTAAAATTGGTGATCAACATTACCTGGCTGTCGCAAATCATTATGATGGAACTTCGTACAGACTGAATTCAGTTATTTACCAGTGGAGTCTGAGTCAGGACAAATTTGTCGTCTTCCAAAGCATTGAAACATTTGGAGCACACAGCTTTGACTTCTTCGAAATAACAAATGAGCAGTTTCTTGCCATTTCAAATTATTATAATGACTCCTCGCACAGCATCAACTCATTCATTTACAAATGGAACAGTAATGAATTTGAAAAGATTCAAGAGATAGCAACCGAGGGGGCTGTTAGTGGTGAGACATTTGTAATCAGCAATGAAACCTTCATTGCATTTGCAAACCATTTTACCACACAAAAGCAGTATGCAGTTCAGTCAGCTGTCTTTAAGTGGTCAGGGCAGCAATTTGTCAAAGTGCAGTCTTTCCAGACATATGGAGCCCGAGATGTGAAGTCATTCAGTGACAACGGTTCTACTTTTCTCGCCTTTGCAAACTACAGACGTGGCAGTTCTCCCATTTACAAGTGGAATGGCAGTCATTTTGTTCTATTTCAAAGGATTCCTACTCGTGGAGCAGCCGGGTTACATCCCTTCATGATGTGCAGTCAAAGTTTTCTGGGTGTGGCTAGTGCCTATGATAACTACAACGAGTACAATACTATGTCAATGGTATATCGAGTTTCTCAGGAACATTTCATTGAATACCAAGAAATTGCAACCCAGGGAGCTTTTGGTATGACGTCATTTCAATACAAAGGACATACTTACCTAGCAGTTGCAAATCGTTTAACTAATCTTAAGAAATGGAATATCAACAGTACGCTGTATAAGTGGGCCTAATATGGGGCACCTCGCCTACAAAGGCCACTGACATAGATATCTTTGGACCAACGATTTCATGGTTACCTCTATTAGTGTCATTTCAGTAAATTTACATCGCTAGAAGTTATTTAATGTGAACATAGTATTCCTTATATCGAGGTATAATACAGAGTAGATTACGTGAAAGTATAGTATAGTAAACCTTTATAACTAGGGTAATCCCTTCAGAATACTTAAAAGTATATCTGTTATCAATAGGAGCCCTAAGAGAGATACCTTTTATCCCAAAAATGGCATGTAAAAGGGTAAGGGGTCGGACACCTCAGTGGAGCCTCCTCGTATATAACTCTCTTGAGTGCCTCTTCCCCGTAATTTCTGTCAGTTCTAACTGTTGATACGGGGTCAAGGCTTTTATCCCGTTAGAAAAGTAGTACAGGGCGCACCGAATTAACCTTTCTTTGGGCAGGAATCTACCCAATAAGAGCATCAACGTACTACATTAACGTCGATGATGTCATAGCTTTTTGTCTTTATCTCACGAACAAAATGCGGTGGATTCTCATTATCGTCCTTTTATTGTATTTTTAACACCATAGAAACAATAGATTTTCATAGCCTTTAATTGACCGGTTTTAACCTGTTTATCCCAAATGTAGTAGTGCTTTGAGGATGCACGATATTGGGAGCGAAATTATGAAAGTTTGGAGGAGCAGGAAGGGAGGAAAGACACAAGGGAATACAAGCGCGTCCGATAAAGGCACCTTCCTTGCTTGTCTTCAAGGGGCGATTTGCATCGACCATTTCTAGAGTGAAGCAACGTTGCAATGTTGGAACAATGTTGCAACCATTCGAAACAGTTGCAACGTTATGTTCCGCTAAAAATTGTCCTCAGTCGTCTTGTGTGACAAACATCGCCCTTTTGTGAATGATGCGGACCTTGCTCGCTTTGTCTTGTTAACATTTGGATTCGAAACATTGTTAAATTTTATTGTGTTTTTTTTTATCGTATGTATACCATATATTATCCATAATTGGATCGCTATTATAAGCTGCAGTATTAAAGCATGAGCTTTAAAGCAAAACATACATTGTACTGTTGAAGCCACAAATGTAATAAAGCTCTCAAATGTAATAAAACCATCGAATGCTATCAAAACCGTATATACTCGAAAGAGCGCCGCCCTCAATTTAAGTGGGAAATAAATAAGCGCTCTTTCGAAAAAAACAAAATTCTATTGCGTTCAATCGAAAGAGCGCCGCCTTCAAATGACCTTTGCACTTTGAAGTCAAAAACCAATAATGTTCTGCTACATTGAACCGAAAGGGGGCCGCCATCGAGTAAGTGCCTCCCTCCTTGTTCGACGGGGGCGCCCTTTCGGTTCAATGCAGCGGTGGCTAGATTGTATTTTTTTATTGTATTAGCGATACATTGTTTTTTTTTTCGTTTAGTCTTTGTGAGGACTTCAAATGAAATGAAGAGTCGAGGACGACAGGACAACAGGCGTGCCCTCTTACAATACATTTTAACATGTGAATAGTAAGCTGGGACGTTAGCATACTTCGGGATACCGTTCAAATTTGTGCACGCATACTTAGTCCGTCTATGGTTTTTGCTCACAGATGTTCTATGCTGAGTGAAAAAAAAGAGAGAGAGAGGTAGAGAAAGAATGCTCAGTTTGTTAACTCGCGATATTTTCGTTTCCAATTCCTTTTTTCTGTTTCTTTTAAAAATGTCTTAATGTAAGACTAGAACGTTGTGTGGTATAGAGTCCTGGTATTCACGCCGCGCGTGACTGAAGGGAGCGCGTACGATCCATCACCCTCCGCTTTCCCCGCGCTTCTCTCGTTAATATTAGAGAGCTTTAGATTCGAGGACGAGGGGGACTACGAGTATGAGATTATCTCAATACTAAGTATTGCGCGCGCGTGAGTCAGCTTCATTTTGGAGGGAAAACGTGATTGCCGACGTCATTCTACAACGGGTTTTAGCAAGAATGCCCTAGTGGTGGGAACAAGTTATCAAATGTAAGAAATTTTATCACTTTTCGATCGGGAGAGGGCTTAACCCCCTTCAGTATAAATAACCGCGCTACCTTTCTGCTGATAAAAGCCAGCTAAAAGCAAAATGAAGCTTTCCGCGGTGTCTTTTATTTTTAGAACCCGCGCAAAATCTTTAAGTGACAGCCGACTCCCGATAACTCGAACCAAAATCGATTTTCCCTGGATTTCCTTCATACATTTACTGCAATTTCACCCTCGGTAACTCGAACCCTCGATAACTCGAACTTCCCGCTAACTCGGAGTAATTTATGTTTCCCTTCAGATCTTTTCTATATAATTTTACCCTCGATAACTCGAACCATATTTTAAGCGCGTTGCAAGTCATGAGAAAAAAGAAAGTCAAACGGTGTACTAACCCCATGTATTTATGTCTTTACTTCTTGATTAATCCAGTTCAAATACAGTGTCCAACTCTATACATTATTCAAGCTTCGTTGTTAAGTTCGTTTAATCAAAATGTCAATATAGAGGGTCGCCAATAGGTTTTTCAGTATCCGGGATTTCTCTTACTTGAATATCAAGATTCGGGATTTTAAAGCAAAATCCGGGCGAGATTTGGGATTGAAAGTATCGCGGGAGGTGGGATACCAAAAAAGGAAATCATCGGGATTACGGGATTGCACGAAATTTGGGCTCCGGATTACGGGAATGAAGAATCCTATTGAGGACCTTCAGTATATCTTATGTGCTAATTGATGCCATTGACTGAGGGCCCGTTTACATGGAGGTGGGGGACCCCAGGTAAGTGAGGTAACATGTGGCGGGTTACCCCACCTATCATGTAAACATGATCAAATTAAAATGAAAGATCATATGGACAGGCGGTTACCCCACCTAAGAGGGTTACCTCACCTACCCGGGAGCCCCCACCTCCATGTAAACAGACCCTGAATAAAGTGTGCATAGTAATTGCATTGTATTCCTTATATCCCCAAGAATAACTGCCTCGCCAGTTACCACCAGGTGTACTGTCGCAATTTGTAATAATCATTGTACTTTGTAATACCTGTCGCAATTTGTAATAAATCCATCGCACTTTGTAATACCTGTCGCAATTTGTAATAAACCGTGTCGCACTTTGTAATAAAAAAACCGGCGCAATTTGTAAAGTCCATCGCGCTATGTATAATAAACTAAGCTGTCGCAATTTGTAATAATTCCATCGCACTTTTTAAGGATTTTTTGAGAGTGATTCAACTTACTTCGTCAACATTAATATAATGCCAAAATATGCATGGTACTTCATAAACAAAAATGATGACGTCATGATGTGAACTCTAAAGGAAGAGTATAAAATATTGAATTCAGCTGTAAAATTAAAGTTTTCAGTTGAAAATTTAAATGAGCAATTTAAAATACAAATCATTAATTTTTGGCGGGGATCGTACGCCGTAATTTGTAATGGTAACAGGACTGGGTGGAGTCCAATTCGGTCTGTAATCATACGAGTGATTAACAAAATCGCGCGGAAGTCCGATTTGTTTAATCACGAGTATGATTACAGACCGAATTGGACGACACGAAGTTCTGTTACCAATTAATCATAACTTTAACAAAATTTTTGATATTATAAGCTATTTTTTAAATCAAAACACAAGAAATTCGAAATTTTGTTTTGCTAGCAATGAGAAAAAAAGCCATTTAAGCGCGCGCGTGATGGCGCGTACTGTCCAATTGCTTAGGCATGACGCGTACTGTCCTCTCAAACTGTCCAATTAAGGCTGAAATCAGGGCAGTTGATAGCCAATCAGATTTGACAATTTTGTTATAGTTATGATTAACAGATTAATTGAATGTTAAGCAGACATAATTAAATAACAAGCGGACAAAATCGAATGACAGGAAGACATAATTGAAAGACAAACGGACATAACTGAATGACAAGCAGACATAATTGAATCTGCACAGTGAATAGTATTTTTGATATGAAAACTGCTTCTTAGACGTCTATTTTCGTTGAAGTTTCTCGAAAAATCGCGCGCGCAAGAGAAAAACAAATTGCGCCACCATCACGTCATTTCCAAGTCTGTTCTGTTTTCGAACATAGCTCTCGACCAATCAGCGGGCGAGAAATCACTGTGAAGAGAATATATTCAACGAATAATTACTGTTTTGTACTCGATTCATCGCGTTTACATTTGACCTTTAAGACCTTTCGTCGTTTGTTTGTCATTCGTAAACAATATAATTACTACGTCGATAAATCATAGCTCCTGACCAGATTCCAGATACATTTTACGTCATCAGTGTGAAATTTCTGTCGTTGATGTCTCTCCAGCGAAACATTCCTATCGGCAAGGTGCGAGGTGAGACGGCTGTATACGTGGATGATCTGTCGCATATAAAGAGTACGATGGCAGGGCTAAGACCTCTACGAGTTTTCCGTTTATCACCGCTGCTATAGAAGAGTTATACAACCGTCTAGAATATGACTGAGTTTTATTACTCATACAGCGGTAAAATAACAGGCAGAATAACCTCGTGTTAATCAAATGTATCACAAGCTCAAGAACCTCGTGCGCCTTAATAAACAACACTACATGCAAATGACCCTACAGGCTTTACGCAGTTTGTACACAGGACGGGCGTATATATCGTAAGCACCACAAGAGAGTAAGACAGATCCATCAGGAATTTGAGTAATTTTAATTTTCGGTGGACAAAAACCTTGTACCAGAAGAATTCAAACAATATTGCGTTCATTTTTACATTTTCAAGGACTAAAGATGTAATAAATCATCTGTAGTAACACCAAAGAAAATTTCTCGTGGAAGTCCGAGAAAATGAACGTCAAATTTCACAAGAATTGTGATTACACAGGTAAAATTCTGAAAATTTCATGTGTAAGATGTAATTTGGTGAAATTTGACATTTTCTCGGGCTCCCCTAAGAAATTTTTTTTGGTGTTACTACAGATGATTTATTACATCTTTAGCCCTTAAAAAATGTAAGCAAGAATGCAATATGCTTTAAATAATTCTGGTACAAGATTTTTGTCCACTGAAAATCAAAATTACTCAAAGTCCTGGTGGATTCCGTCTTAAGTTGCTATCAGATATGACATGCATCAACAGCAGCCACGTCTGCTTGGTGTCTCTGTACGTTTCTTCAGCTCTCGCCTTTTGCCTCAGCCAACTTCTCTAATCCACAGAACTTCCACTTGGCATTTCCACTAGCATCCTCTGCCTTGAACAAAACGGGCAAGCTTGAAAGCAATCTATCTACCACATCCCTTCTTCGCTCCTTGAACTGCCTCGACAGGTAATCTCGTATCTCGCCACTTGTAGCTCCTGCGGGGCAAAGCTGGAGGTAGGAACATATAATACCAACAAGTACGAGCTCCTCCCCGGAAATGCGCACCTGGTTGGGTCCGTAATTCAAAGATGCACGGCTGTTCACAGCTGCTGAGAGCCAGGCTTGATACTGGGAATCGTAATTTAGTTTGTAATTTGATGAGTCGGTGGTTACCTGGTGTTGCGCGTTTACCTCTTTGTAATCATCTTCGCTTTGTTGCGTTTTTCCCTGGGTACTAGAGTAAAGCTCAGCATAATTAGTTGAATCACTCGCAAGCTGTTCGTTTGCACGGTCACTGTTCATATACTCTGCCTTTTCATTGTCTTGAACTTTTTGGGCGCTGTTATCAAAGACCTGCACAGAACTGCCCGCAGCAGTAATTTCTTTGTAATCATCATCGCTGTCTTCTTCATCCATGTCATCAATCACTTCGAACTGCTCGTCATCGATCTCCACAAAGCGGCCACTCCCTTCTTCTTCTACGTTGTCATCTTCCACTTGTTTCATTTTTTCAGTTTCTTTCTCTTCCTGACTGGTTTCTTTTTCCGCGTCTTCCTCGTGGCTCTTTTCATCTTTGACAAATACCTCCGCCTTCTCCTCGGTGTTTATGTCTTCCTCAGCTTGATGGCTGTTTTTGTCATCTGCCACCTTACCTTCATCAAGCTTCTCATCTTTCACTTCCTCTTTGATCCCCTTTTCTTCTGTTTCAGTGTTTACGTTTTCACTTTCAACAGGGCACCCAATGTTACCCTCTTTCATTGGAACCTCCTGCACAGGATAACTTTCAAGACAAAGTTCTTCACTGTTGCCAACTTCCACCAGCTCTGTACTCAAACTGTCACTCTGCAAACCTCCACTACCATCTGCAAGATCCACACCAGTTCCATTTTCTGCGTTTTTCTCTGCCGTAAACTCTCCCATTCCACCAATTTCACCCTGCATCCCAAGCTTGCTGTTCTCGTTGCCGTTTTCGTTAAGGTCTGTCAGTTCTTCTGTATCGAGGTCCATGTCTGTGACATTATGGCTATCCTTGCCCAGGTCCACTAGAATTTCGAACTCAGCCATCGCTCTCTGAAAATCAAAAGGAAAGTCTTGCATTCTTATGAAGTTTTATTTTTGTTTTGTCTTGAGAACGAGTCTACAAACAAGATGCGCTGGGAAGGAGGTGGGAACCGAATCGCCTTTGTGAAGATTGTGCTGAGGTTTGGTCCAACCCCGGGAACCTACGAACTCCCGCTAAATGGACCAGCGCTCTAACATAAACTGACCTAAACTTGCCGCAGTTAAAAAACCGTTGCTGAAAAAAAAAATACAGCGACAACAACAACAACAGAAAATTTCTTCTGAAAAAAGCGCAATAGAGACGATTTTCCATTGCCTACACTCCTGGTCAAAAAACGGTTCCACTTGAGTTTTGAACATAATTCTCGTTTCGGGCGACAAAACTTCGGGCGAGATGACCGTAATTATGACTTTATTCCTACGACCTCTAAGAGAGAAGACAACGAAAACGAAAAAGTAGTAAAGACAAGTTGCTGAAAACACGTCAAGAGAATCCATATTGTATGGTTACGTCCTATATTGCGATGTCTTTTCTGCATTACAAGCCAGGATAAATTTAATGCCTATCATCCTTGGAGCCTGAAGGGTTCAAACAAAAGGAAACGTTATTAACGTGTTTACACTACCTTTGGATCAGTGAGGATATTCGCATCTTGCAGGGCTTTCGTCAGACTAAATATCTAACAGGAAGGGGAAAAAAAGGTAGAGTTCATAATTACTTATACTGTGGATACCGTGTAATGCCTAGCACGGCTTTCACCCCAAAAAAGAAATACCTTGTATTTTTTATGTATTTGAAGTTTTATCTTCCTGCTTGGGTGTTTTCTATTATGATTTGAATAGTTACAGTGGTTCGCGCTCAGTTCAGAGGATGGCGGGAAATGGATTCTACTAGCCTTCAAAGATAGTTTCAACCTGCCAGCAGCGCCTTTCTTTCGCTTGCTTGATCAATATTGCTGTACTCGAGAAAGACTGCATGAATCGAGAGTTGCATGTTGCTTGGATAAAGTTTCCAATCCAGGCCTAAGAGTCATGCGCTTAGTACGGCGGGCTCAGTTATGACCAGCAATTTTATCAATAAATGGATGCTTGCATTAAAAAAACAGTTTGACGAGAGAAAACAAGATTGACTAGTTCAGAAATCCCGGTTGCTGTGACTTCAAAGGCTTGGCGCGATTCAGGCAGAGAGTCCTTTTCTCCTTCTGGTCAAGTCGCCCGAAGTCATCATCGCCCGAAATCAGAGTGATGTCGCCCGAAATGCTGAGTTAGGTGGCTCGAAATTTTATCACGCTCAACAACATCCTAGCATCCCTATTACACACTTATCGCCCTTGTTTCGTCTCATCGAAGATTAAAGAACGAGATATATTACTCATTTATCGCGCTTGTTTCGTTGTTCATCAAGGATTAAAGAGAGAGAGAGATATTACACATAAGCTTAATATATCGCCTGTTTCGTCTCAACATCACTTAAAGAACGAGGTATGTTACACATTCATTCCGCTTGTTTCGTCTAATGATGGTTTAAAGAACGATATATGTTACACACACTCTTTATTTCACAAAAATTCACTTTGTTTCTCTATGCACTTCACCTGATAAAATTCGGGCGACATGACTCAGTATTTCGGGCGACTTAATTCTGGTTTTAGGGGAGATAACTTTCGGGCGACTTGACCAGTTACCGTCCTTCTCAATCAAGAAGACAAAAGGAGGCGCTTCTTGCAAGGTGCCATAGTTTTATTTAGCACAAAAATGAATAGGTTAAGACCCTTCAAAGACTAAGAATTTTCATGCAGGGTTTCCATACTTCATAATCTTTAGCTGCTATCATGTTGTTGTACTGCTGTCTTATCTCCTCTGCCTGGTACTGATAACTCTGCATGGACCACATCAAACTTGTGTTTTGTTCAGCAATTGCCTTTAGACTCTCAACTTGCGTTCGCAGTTTTTCATTCTCTAACCTCAGGGTATCCGCTGAGTCAGCATCAGATTCTACAGGATAAATACAATTGATAAACCTTTTAATCCCTACTGTTAAAACCTCAATTCTCTGTAGCTGATACCACATTTTAAATGGAAGAAGTACGACGACTCAATGATTGCACTTGTAATAAAGTTAACAAATATTTAGCATTTGCATGTGGCTTGAGCCGTAGCTTAGAGGGTGACCGGTTGTTTCGCCAACGTGTCACGAGTCGTTTCGCTAACGTCCCATTCGCGAATGTGTCATGTCGTTCAGCTAAGAAGCGAACCGAGCGCTGCGCATGTATATGCTTCGTTCTCTCAGCCATGATAAAAAAAAGTGCGATACGCAAGTACATACTTCGTTCTTTCAGCCACTGATCAGGAGAAAGCCGTTAAGGAGCTGACTCAACACGCAAGCGAATCGACTTCAGAAGTTGGGGAACAGGACGTTGGCGAAACGACCGTAAACCGTTTATGGGGTCCTCTAATGGGCTGTGTCCCTGATGAAAACATCCTAATTTTCTTTACCTGCTTCAATGTGTTTCTTAGAGAAGAATAGGGAAGAAGATGGACCATGACCAAGGGTCCCATCTTGGAGTACAAAGAGCTGAGTAAGGTTATAACTTGTTTCCTTCTTATGCAGGTTGTCGCCTAACTAAAGGTTACAAAATGTAGAGTGTAAATCCAATTCAGGCAGTGCCATCTATTGATTCGGTAAGAGAAAATGATAAAATGATAGCCTCTGTAATGACAGAGGGTTAAAGCTCAAAGGCTAACAGATATATCCACTGACAGATTACACAGAAAAGTTGACACTTAACTGTTAAGATATGTTACTTCTACTGACTTATTACTTCCTAAGGCGGTGGCCAAGATGACTTTTCAAGTTACAATCAAGAGAAAATGGAAGGATATCAAGAAAAAAATGACATGATGAGGGTTTTGAAAACGTGATTAATCGACTACTGAAATAAATTTTGCTCTGCGCTCATCACACGTGTCTAGTGAAGATTCCGACGGAAGCTACAGAAAAATAAGAGCTCTAGTCACGTTCTCATTGAACCTGTACTTAGTGACAAGAACTACAGCATTGAGCTATAACAGTAGTTTAAATTGTCCTTAACTCCGACTACCGGCATGATCAGACCAATTTTGCTTGAGTGAGCATCAGTATTAAGCTTCCAGCTGATCAAAAAACTTAGCTCACAAGAGCAGCTTCATATTGTACTTTCATGTAAATCTTGAGGGGAAGAAGCTGGAAAAACTTACCTGGTTCAACAGAAAGACCAACAGAGTTGAATCTCTTACAACCAGCTTCAAGCAAGTAATACTGTATATCAGGAACAGTCCTCTTGGTCAAAGAGAGACCAGACACATTGTTAACAGCTTCTTAATGGCAGCACATCGAATTCCATCTCTGACCTATCAAAGGGTTTGCACTGTGCATAATTAACTCACCCACCTTTAGGAGTAAATTTGTAATAACAGATGCCCGTGGTGTAATGACACAGTACCTGAAGCTTCCACTCGCCGCTTCTTGGCTTTTGTCGTCGATAGGCTTGTTTGACGAGAAAATAGCCGTCGTGTATGAACTCACGAAAAGAACTCAGGAGAAACTGTTCGCCGATTGGGCACAATAATACAATGCATTTTTTCTGCCCAATCAGGAGCCGGAATCCGTTTAATTTTTGGAAATAGTTCGGTGAGAGTCGGTACCCAGAAGCTCTTTCTCCCGTATTTGAAAACTTTCGTCCCACCTTTTCTCCCGACCCGACTGACTGCCCCTGACTCTCCGAGGATTGTACACATCTCGTGAGAGAAATGAATCAAAACCCTGACTCAAAACACGGCTTCCTTATCTTCTGAAACACATTACGGAAGAGAGCGATTTGGAGAATTTTGAAGATCTCTTAGTGGCCTTAGATTCTTGGTTATTGGCTTCATAAGGAAATTTCAATAAGTTCATCGCGATCGATTCGGAGGTGATCGGAGGTGAGATTTTAGGCTATTTTAGGTGGCGATTTCCTGCTTCCGCTGTGTTAATATGTATATTTTTGTCTCAAAGTAAAAGAGATCTGTAGTTCATACTTGGATTTGCTTAAATAAATTTTAAAAAATCGTCCATTAGTAGTGTTTGATGGACTTTATTACCGGGCACGGAAGGGGAGCGCAAGCAAAGAGCAAGGTAACAGTTTTATTTTCATCGACAAGAATATTTTATTTTGCAAACAGTTAGTACCTGTTTTTATTCCTTATGCGCAAATAAATCTTCTGTTAGGCGAGGGAAAAGCAGCTGTCAGACCAAAAGAGCCGAACAGCTACAGCACAATGGGAATTTCACCAAAGCTACGCGCGCAGAAATAATCCACGATCTTGTCTGTGCGTTCACTGAAGTGAGCGCAGTGTATCGATTCTGTTACAAACCTAATCTCACAGTTTTAAAATCCTGTACGATGTTGTCTAGATCTTCGATAACGGTTTCGTGTTTTGGTAGAGATTTATAACAAATCATATTCCCTACACGTAAGCTTAAGTTTACCAGACGATTTGCATACTCATAGCACACAGGGCATGCAAATTATTTTGGAGATACGCTTTTAGTTTCCGCATTTCCGTATTTACCATTCTGGTTAAAAATAGAACGAACGCTGCATTTGGTGGCGTTACTCGCTTCACGTCGGCTTCCGTTTCGGTATGTTTTCTCAGCCCGTTTTCCGAAACTTGTGCTACTTGGCTGAGACAGGATGGCTGAGACGATCTCTTCAATCCAAGACACTTTCAACGCCTCACAACGAGAAAACTATCAGGGATAGACCCGAGTAGACCCCAAAATTTACAAAGAAGAAAGGTTGATCTAACGAGATGACCAAAATAATCCGATAAAACCGCTAACAGTAACCAATAATAAATCCAAGAGGAACGGCGAAAATAACACTAAATCCAAGAGGAACGGCGAAAGTAACACTCGAATCATCGTGGCGGCTTCCACATATGACCGAGCAATTCAAACTTGTATCAAACTCTCAAGAAAGCAAAATATTTAAAAGTAGCGTAACTACTATCAAGATAAAGTGTTCCAACAACTTTCCACGGCGGTATCAATGTCGAAATTTTGCCTATCCAAGCTTGGAATAAATTGAAAATTTCACCATATACAACTCTAAAAACGACTCTTTGCAAGCGCGAAAATCACTCTTTTTGATTACAAATAGCGCATTCTGATTGGTCGAATCACGTGACGCACACCGCCAGCGCGTATAGTATCCTATGGCATCAGGAGCCGATATAAGTAATCGGCTCCTGGTTGTATGTACTAAATTACTTTACACCCTTTCCTCGTAACTTGAGTTTGGGCCGCCTGTGTTGAAATGTGAATTGATCTGATTTACTAAACAACCCCGCCCTGGTTAAAAAAAAAAAAATTAGGAAAATGAAGCTTTCCGTTGAGGTTATTTTCTTAGACTACACTGGATCCTTGAAGTTTCCCGAATACCATGAGACAGCCAAAATATAGTTATATGTGCACTAGCGGGGATTTAGGGCTGAGAAGTGTAAAATTACTTAATATAATAGTTTAAAGAGGTAAATATAGTTAACGTGTTTTACTAGAACGCCTTCTTCCAGCCATTAACCCAGAAACGCCTTTGCAAAACGTTATTTGGTCTTTCACCACACAGGGTGCAAGAGGTTTTTTTCCCATTGGAACCCGCGAAAGCGAGTCGCGAAGCTGCGAGAAAATATAATCTCTCGCCGACCAGGCTCCGGTTGTTCAAACGATGGATTGCGCTATCCACCGGATAAATCACTATCCAGTGGATAAGTATTAGGGAAACTGATTGCGTTATCCACTAGATAGAGATTTAACCAGTGGATAGCTTTATCCACGTTTTGAACAACTGGGGCCAGCACTTTAACACTTCGCTCTTGCCTTCTCCATCGCAGCTGATGAGCGGGAAGTCGTCTGGCGTCCAGGGTAGCCTTCCATTGACTGTGTGCTTGATTTGACATCACTGCGCTTAAAATTGGCTCAAACATTTCTTGCACCCAAACGACATTCGTTTTTGCTTTCATGGCACAAGTTGATTGTTGTGGCGTTGTTATAACAGCTATGATTGGTTTGTTGGATTCTTTGCGGCTGTTGTCATCAGCCAATCTAATCTCAAGAACCCGTTTTCTCTCTAGTCAGCACCAAAAATGCGTCAGGACACTTAACACATGGCCAAAAGGGATCTATGGAGACGTGATTGGTGATCAGCCAGTAAAATTACGACACTTGAGTAAAGCGTACATGTATGGTCTTTCATTTCCACCGAGGTCAAGCATCTTATAGGCGTTTCTGGTTTTAATCAATTAGACAACGTGGAAACAATGGCAAGGGTGTATCGAATACTTGTTTGTTATTGTAACTTGCAATTTGCCGACAAATGAAATGAAATATATAACTATGACAAAGGACGTTTTAGTTTTTTTAAAAAAAATGACCCAAGGGCACCATGGCTTAATTAACTGACGGACAAACAAAGGATTACCGCGACGCTAAAGACTTATCAGGTCATGCACCCATTCCTTGGTCAAACCATTTACATGATTACTAATTTGAAACGAGAAATGCCAAAGTATAAAGCAAGTCAAGTGCGGAACAATGTTATTTTTATCATACTGATAGCGTTACAGGTATTTCAGCCAGTCTCTACAAATCTCATAAGGATTTTGCAAAGCATCACAACAATAGTTAAATATGTAATCCCTATAGATTCTTATTTAAACCCCTCCGTCTATAATTTACAATACTGACAGTCGGAAAATCCTTTGAAACTCCACCGAAGCATGGGAGTGCGGAGTCCGTGGAGGAATGCCAGTGAATATAGAAGACAAGTAATTCTCATTCCAACCATTGCAAGGTTTTTATGTATATACTGACTTTAAGTCACCCTATACTCTATTAAGAGTTTAAAGCCACAGGACGCCCACCGAAGAAAAACTTTTGTCCCATCTTGCCCTGAAACCCGGGGGCTTCTAAGCGAGATTTCACTGTACAAATGCTGGGGCTATGATCAAAGCTTTTTTTTGTATCCTAAATTACCAAGATGGATATTTAAGGCCCTTTCGTTTAAGTATTTCTCCTTTTTAAGGCTCTCTCTTTCTCTCTCTCTTTTTTTTTTTAAGATACGTTATTTTTGGTCATAGAACTATATCTCATCGGAAGCTAGAGCTAACGCTGGTTTGTATTTTAAGAAGGGTACTTAACCCAATAACTGTCTTCTAAAAAACATGAAAAAAGTTTGTTTTAATTTCCAATCTTGAGCCCGTAGAGAAACTAAATGGTTATTATGTGACAAATCTGTGGGTACTTAACAAAATTATTATTTCAGCCCAAACGTTTTCAACGTTCTGAATGACGAGCGTTTTAGCAACCAGATATCAAACTCTTGCATTGCATGAACAACCATTATCGTCGGTGGAAGACCTGGGTAAATCGGGTAAGACATTACGCCAATCTTTTACGAAAAATTCGCTGAGCTCTAAAATAAACTTCGGTGCAATCCAACATGGCGGTTGATCTTCTCAGATAGTGCCTAACTTTTAAGGCC